TCAGTTAGTCAAGAAGTTCTACGCCAAGTTCCCTTCAAAACCTCGATCGTGAGGACACGATCCTTTGGAGGGGGGTACTGTCACTAACCGCCCCCACGGGGCTACGTTTTCCTTTTCGATTCGGACCACTGCCTTGTACGTTCACCCCTTGTTCTCTATTCGGCGTGGTTTCCCCTTGTTTGCACACGGACAACAGCTCCCCTTGTTTCTCTCTTCGCTATTGTCCTACAGCCTTGTACTCGGTGCCCATGGCAACGCCATTGTCCCCTTAGCGCCCATTGTTCGTTCCTTGTATATAGCTGGATCCCTTGCTACCTGGAGACTCTAGTTTCGACCTCTTGTCTCCAGGTAAGCCATCGTGTATTTCGCTCTGTAGATACTTCGCTCAATACACATCTTGTCTCCAGTCCTGCCTGTTGAGCTCCGCTCCAGTCTCACTGCGATCAGAGCTCGTCGGCGCTCCTGCCTGCCTCGCTCGTCTCCACTTACTCGCTCGACAGTCAGTCGTAACACACCTCTGGCAGATGCAGATGTTTCTCTCGGACTATGTCAGCAGCGGTAATACGAAGCAATGGGGAGCACTCTCCTTAGAAACGGCCCGGCGTTGGCAGAAGGGTACGCATACCGCCCGGTCCTTACGTGCCTGGACGCGCGCTTTTTTGAAGGACCGGCACGATCTCCCCCTCACCCCCGAGAACACATGGACAAGGTCGCTGCTCGACAAGTGTCCGGACCTGAAAGTAGCTGTCAGCGAGCATCTGCAAAGCATCGGGAAGTACGTACGCGCCCTTGACATCGTGCAATTCACAGCGATGCCTGCAAACCTCACCAAATACGGGTTAACGAAGCCTATTTCGCTATCCCAGGCCCAGGTCTGGATGCGGGCTCTGGACTACCGCTGGACCAAGACTCCGAATGGACAGTTTGTGGATGGCCACGAACGTGCTGACGTCACGAGCTATCGACAGACGAAATTCCTACCAGCGATCGCAGACTATGATCATCACGCTCGTCAGTGGGATAAGGACGGCACAGAGGTTCCAGTTCCAGACGACTTACCTCGCCCCCGTAATCGCCGTGTTGTCTACTGGCATCACGACGAATCTGTCTTCTATGCACACAACCGCCGGGTCCGCCGCTGGGTGCACAAGACTGAGAAAGCCGTACCTCGGGCCAAGGGAGAAGGGGCTTCTCTAATGGTCGCTGACTTTGTGTCAGCTGAATATGGCTGGCTACGCTCTCCTGATGGCAAGGAGTCAGCACAAGTCCTATTCTGCCCAGGCAAGAACCGCGATGGCTACTTCACCCATGAAGAAATCCTGACCCACGCAACGACCGCAATGGACATCCTCTCCCGTCACTACCCCAATGAGCAACACGTCTTTATCTTCGACAACGCACCAACTCACCTCAAACGAGCTCCCGATGCGCTGTCAGCAAGGAAGATGTCACTGTACCCGACCAAACCTGGGGGCCCATTTTTTGGTGTTGAGCAGACAACCACTGATGCGGGGGGGAAAGAGGTCAAGGTCAAGGTTCCAATGGCGAACGGTCACTTCAATGGGCAACCACAGTCGTTCTATTTCGAGACCGGACACCCACGCGCTGGCATCTTCAAGGGGATGGCACAAATTTTGACAGAGCGTGGGTACGATCTCACAGGGCTTCTCAGGGAATGCCCGGGTTTCAAATGCAAACCTCCCACGCTGTCTTGCTGCATCCGCCGGCTCCTATTCAACAGCCGGATTTTCAGGAGGTTGAGACACTGCTCGAGACCCACTGTCGTGCTCGCAGCTTTGATGTGCTGTATCTGCCCAAATTCCATTGTGAGTTGAACTGCATTGAGCAGTGCTGGGGCTATGCAAAGCGGAAATACCGCGAGATGCCAGCATCTTCGAAAGAAGCTGATCTCGAAGCAAATGTCCTTGCCGCACTAAATTCAATCCCACTTGTGACGATCCGGAGGTCAGTTTTCCGTTATGATGTCATCTAGAGCGCTTACCAATCCTTTTTTGGCACAGGTTCTACACTCGGGCCCACCGTTTCATGGATGCGTATCGCCGCGGGCTCGATGGGAAGCAGGCTGCGTGGGCAGCGAAGAAATATCGTAGCCACCGCGTCCTTCCAAACGACATTCTTGAGGAGCTCGATCGGGAAGGCATCACTCCGGACAACTAATGATCCCTACTCCATAATCATTATTCGTGTTTATAACTATACTATGTGTGCTCCGCTATTGCTACATAATCCCCTCTACTTGTATACCTGTCCAGTCATGCCATTGACCACTCTCTCCTCTGCGCAACACTCCCACCTACTTATCGGCTTTAATCAACAAGTTAATATGTTTGGCGCCCTGCTTCACGTGCTACGTAACGCCGTGACATAATAGTAGATTGTGCACCGGGCCAATCTTACATATGTACTTAGGGCCTGTTCGGCAAAGAGTTGGAGTTAGAGTTACCGGCATTTCATGCCCAAATATAGTAATAATATCTCGGTTTTCGATTTCGAGAGAACTCGAGTTACTCGGGCGAGTGCATGCGTTCGGATGCCTCCCAGCAACTCCGGGCGGTTGTTATCAGCTCACGTCGTAATTTGTCTTGAGGCTCTACCCTTTTGGCAGCCTGCTTGATTCTCTCTGTATAGAGTATTGGGATGGCTATAATGACCAGTGTAGAATGTGATCAGACATCTGAGGCCATCCTACTTGGGGGATTAGAGCAGGCTACTACCAAGGCCCGCCCAGCCAAAATAATGACAGTTACTGCTATTATAGCCTGTCTTCGGCGCTCTATATGAGCCTGATGGATTGCTTGGTAAATTTTGACAGCTGCTCTTGTGTAGACCACGGTGAAGCAGGGATG